TTTTCGCCAACTGTAATCGAGCATTTGAATTTGCATTTGCAAATGTGGAGATGTGCCGGGAAAACTTTGCCGCCAACGCAGAGATGACAAAAAGCGCTGCCATCGTCCACATAGTGAAACTTACACTAAAAAAAGTATCCTTTAACGCAATAATTTTTCATAAAAATGTTAGGTTTCTTAAATTAAATCGGTTCTAAAAGCTCTGACTTTCTTTAACCCAGACTTATGTTCTTAACAAATATTACAGATATGATACTTTAAAGTAAGTTCATAGTTTCATACCTTATCTTGTCTGTCTTTTTAACAATAATGAATGCAAGACATTTTTATACTTTCAAGAAAATTGATTCTAGAAGCTATCACATTTTAAGCAAATGTATAGTTTTCATAGCTCATTTTATTTATAAAAATCTCAAATTATTATAATTCAAGACTAATTTCCCTTTTAGAGTTAATATTTTGATGAGTGTATGTACGTTATCCCTGGACTCCGCTGATACAGGTGCCGGCGACAATTGTCGCAGTCACGTAAGGATCAAAAGCGGTACAAAAAACGCAGACACAGCTATGACATAGATGCAAAAGCAAACTGTCATGGGCCAAAATATGCGCTGGTGCCCTCGATGGACAGTCCATAGCCTGTAGTCGGTAGTCCATGGTCCATGGTCCGTTCATATCCTGCCTGCTCGGCATCCTGTCCGTGGGCTAGACACACAAATGGAGCTTTGATGCCATCAAATTGTGTTTGATGGCGGGTGATGGGCGGCAGGTGAGGCCATTGATTGATTTTACCCTCCTGCAAAACAAACTAATAAGCGAGTGCAGTTGGGAAGTGGGGAGACAAGTCTTTATGAAGGTGCAACAGTGCGTATGCGTGTTGCACACTACGTACACGCACTGGGGAATGCATTTATATAGCAGCTGTAGCATCGACAATCGCTTTTAAGCACCGAACAATGCAGCTTCCACGCATGAACAGTTCGCAGCTGGATCAAAGTTGCTGGCGCACACCGCACACACGCATGGCATCGGTTCACACACGCACACCCACCTTTTCTGATTTTGGCCTTGTCAACACACTTTTCATGTGGGTGGAAATACGGGTGGGATCTGCGGGCCACTACCGGTGGGTTGCATTGTGCTCCTGAGTGCAACACATGTTCCAAATTTTACCGGATTTATTAGATATGTTACCTACAAATTGTTAAAAACCTCGAAAAGGAAAAAATATGAAATAAGTACAAAATGTGTTGGCAAAACGCACTGAAACTTCTCTTCAATACTTCCCACAAAATAGTTGCTAGATAATATTATACTCACAAATTCATTTTGTTTTTTAACTTTCAAATAAATGTTATTGGGATTGCTTCGTCAACTTAAATGCTTGACAAATTTTGAAAAAGCTTTCACTCAATACGCCCCATTTTAAGTTAGATCCTAATAAATACAGACCTTAAATCCGAACCTAATTTTATTGCTTTTTAAGGATGGATTATTAATAAAGTTATAAATGTTATAATCAATTTCCAATTTCCAATTTTCTATGTTTTCCAGCCTCCTAAATCTGCGACTTACGACTTGAAAATTTGTACTTTCATGTAATATAAATTATACTTCTACCACTCTTATATTACATACTGTATTTAGCATTCTGCCTAACCAGTGTAAAATAGAGATATAAAAAGCTTTCCACAATTGTATAAAAGTTTGAAGTCAGCTAAGAAATTTTAGGTTTTGATCTCGGCTTAAAAAATATAATAATTTTTGGGGGTGGGAAAATAAATTAAAACTGCCCAAGAGCAATGTCTTAAAAAGCGTTCGTTACTAGTCAAGCGCACATTAGAAAACTGAGATTACCTTTAGCTTGCCGAAGCTTTTTCATAATTCGTTTTTGAATATATCACCACACTCGGGTGTACAAATGGTAAAGCATTCTAAGGACATGCGCAGCAGGACTCCTGTGACCTTGAGTACAACAAAAAATCTTGATTCCAGAGAATCCCAGAGAGCAGCAACTCAAAGCACGTTGTGCCAAGCCAAAAAATTTATGCGCGGACAACAAAAGGCATTTGAATCGCTGTGAAACGTGAGCAGACGTCTCGCGTAAATCAAAAAAAGGGCAGAGAAAACTTGAAGAAGCATAAGTGCCTGGCATAATTTGAAAGGCCAAGCCCGTGTCCAAGCCTTAAAAAACCCTTTATGATCGCCGGGGGTTGTGTTGGCCGTTTGTTGGCTGCGAAATGTGTAATTTGCAGTTCGCAAAAGGTTCTCCTCTCAAGACCCTCTTATCGGAGAGTTTTTTGGGGGGAGTGGAATACTATACTCTGCTGATTGCTCTCCCGCTTTCTGGCGATGCTGTAACCACGAACTGCCTGTCAGTAGAACGCGAACTGTGGCCACGAAAACAAAACGGGTTTTCAGCACATTTTATTTAACACAGCCAACAACGTAAATTGAAAGAATAAATATTATTTTTTTTTTAATAATTTTAACCATTTAACTTTGTCTGAAAGTGTAAAAAAAATATGATTAGTTCTAGGCTGATTTAACAAAAGTAATTCCTCAACTCAAACAAAAAATCAATTAATATTTGTGTGTAAGTAGTCAAGAATCCGTGACATTTGTGTCCTTAGTGAGCTATTTTTGGCCAGCACGTCACAAATGGCAATCCCTGACGTCACAAGCTGCCCACACACCACCACCCACCCACACATACACAGTTTCCGAAAGCTTTGCTAGACACTTTGGCGCCGATTTTTACGTCTAATCAGATATTACCAATATATCGTAAATAATCTGATGCAATGATACTGTTGGATTTGGTCAGAATCGTCACGAAACGTGAGATTTCTTAGCTACTTGCACTTGAAATTCCCGCCACGTCGTTAAGTACTTGGGCTTAAAGGCAATCTCTAAATTAATGAGCTTCGTTAGATGGGAAAACATAATACCTCCGGCCCACCTTTTCCAAAAAGGTGTGTTTTGCTGAACTTATTGGCTATTGGCACGCCGGTAGTCTCAGTATCAAATGCCGCACACATTTTTTTCGACCAGTTCAAGTCCAAAGGTGGGATTAACCCTTGGCAAGTCTGAAATTTATTGGCTTTTGCGAGATGCATCACCAAAATGTTGTTAAATGAAATCACTGAATTCGTTCGCTGAGCCCGACAGGCGCAATTTGTCAACCAAAACAGAAACAAAAATTAATTAATGATCGTGATTAGCATTTATTTCTCTAAAATATTTAAATATACTCATCATTTCCGATTATCCAAAAAATTATGGTATCTTTATTCAAATGCATTCGGTACTTTACAAATATTAGTTTTATTAGAAATGTTATCTTAGAATTTTACAAGTTAATATTTGTTTTAAGCGAGTATTTGTTTTTGTCTGTGTAATAAATTCTAATTTAGTACTCAAGCCAAGTGGATCAGCTGATTAGCATTATGTGTTGCGTTTCAAGCATGATTTTTGTAAAAACACCCGATTTTATTAAGCAAATATAAGTATTAGTAAATCAATTCCCTAACGAGTTGAGGAAACTCTTAAAGTCACAGACATCATGGCGAGATTTAAATAAACAAGCTGATCGTACGTAGAATTACCTTCGAACCGGCCGCTGGACGCACCGCCAATTGTCGTTAATTCGGGATTATAAGCACAAATTGCTAATAAAGGGGAGATTAGGCAACTCGATGATGGGCACTTGGCAGTTTGGGAACCAAAAACCGGCCGCTTAACAGATTGAAATAAGTATTGACAGCCGAAACATCAAACCTGGACCTCAGCCTTTGTTTCTTTGGTCAATAAACTTGCCTGGATCGACGCGAAAGTTAGGTTTAAGTGAAGCTGAAAGGCAGCAAACATACTCAGTAATACAAGTTATTTAAATAAATTCTACAGAGAAATTGCAGACGCGTCACCATTGTGCTTTAGTTGGCGACAAATTGCGGAGATAGCTTTGAATTAAGTCATTTGTGGGGCAAATGCAGCAAAGTTTTCAGTCCCCGGTGCGGATATATTCAATTATAGATCGGCGCAAGTGGGCAGTAATAGATTTGAATATTCGCGCGAAAATCAGAGCGTCATATATCTAATTTGCATGTCCAAAGCAGCCTACGTGTGAACTCGGATAAAACCGAGGCAACCAGAGGTAAGTTTGTATCTCAAGAAGGGTACTATTAGTTTCAAGTACCCAAAGATTGTTACCACATGGGTAAACAAACAGAAAACCTTCAACTTAATTAGAGTCTGCTCTTGAGCTGTGTTTCTGTGTATCTGTTAGATAAAAGTCAGCGTGTACCATTTTCCCGTCTGTGTCTGCCAAACACAAGAAATGAGAACCATTTTTCGGGAACCACCAAACCCCCCTCGAAAGCCCAAAAAATAAAAGGTACGAGTCTGACGACCACGATCACGGGAACAAACAAAACGCGGCATCAAAAACTTGTTTCGGTGAAATTACGAATTCAAAAAAACACTTAGTGCCGGTTAGAAACAAGCGAGCCTCTCGAACGAACATCGCACAGGTTCGATGTAGCGCAAAATCAAACTTTTCGGGCTTTTTTGAAAATCTAGTTATGTACATCGTGTTATATTTCCACCCAAAACTCATTTAACTCTCTTGCGTCCTCATTTACAAAACTTTATTTATAAATTTATTAAATGAATTGGTTTTATATGTCAAAAATTGCTTTCAAATCCTTAACTTTTAATTTCAAAATGTAGGTTTTTGTAACAAATAGTTTTGTTATAATTCAATGTATTTTGCTAGTTTGATTTCAGTACTAGATCAGAATACCTTAAACAGTGCTTAACATTTTAGAAGTTATATCTTTAGAAACTCAATAAAAACAAACAAAAAATATGTTCTACTAATTGCACTCTTTCCGTGTAGGAGATAACTTACAGCCGACCAGAACCGAGCCCGATTAACCTCTGGCCGAGATTTCCGGAGCAAAGATGCCTCAGCGCGGAATCGAGCAGCCGGTGGTTGTCAGTCTGCTCTATCCGCTGGTTGCGTGCGGTTCTCGTTCTCCGCCAGAGCTTGTTAGTAACTGATTGTAACTTTCAGTTAGTAAACCGTCTTTTTTTCACGCGAAAAGCGCTCGAGCCTCTTAAGCAGGTAGCAAATCCTAATCGCCTCTTGAGTACTTAGTTCTCAGCGTTAGTCAAATGGCATACAATTTAAGCAGATAAAATATGTTTGCGCTGCGTGCGCCACACATGTGTTTTGTGAACAAAAGTACGAAATAAATACAATTAAAAAAGGTGTTAATAAAATGGAAAAACAATCGTCAGAGCAGCAGCAGTGAAACACAAATTCAAATTAAAACGCATCAGGCGATTTTGGCAACTCATAAAAACGCTATTAAAAACTGCTCACAACAATTTATGTGTGCAGAGCTGTTGTATTCCCAAAATGCTGGAATCTTGCTTAAAGTATATATTTAGATTTGGTTTTAATTGAACGACTAACTCGGACCTGTTGATTATCGGCATGCGACTCGAGCCGGTTTCCTCTTATTTTAATTTTTGTGAATCAAACGCAATTCCTAATAAATGGTGATAAGAATATGTTGGTTAAGATGTTTTTGGTGATAATACAACCAGAACAGTGCATTCCGAAGCCGGAATTAAGAATTGAATTTGAAAATTTTAGAAACTAAGAACCGTTCTTAATCACGTGTGTAGTACTTTTTTCTGTTGATGATTAAAAGTAACCTCCTATTATTTGCATTATCCAATTGTTATTGCGTACGATATCAGTATTATTTTGTCAGCAAAAAAAGTTATTGTACCACAATTAGCTTCAATTAGTTGAGAGTCCAAGCTAACTATGCATATATTAAGCACTTGCCTCGAAACCGATGGCGTACAGTGATTTATATGGACTATACAATAGCATTTCTGTTTACTATACCAAAATTAATGGATTTTGTTAGTTCTTTTGCGGCGCTGTGTTTTTGTTAACGCCTCAGGTGCGCACACGAACACCATTTTCAATGAATCAATAGATTGTTTTGTATCTTGATTTATCATAAATTGGGTCAAGTAAATAGGTAGCTGAGGAGGGAAAGACCTAATTGCTTTGAAGCGAACTAATGCCAATACCATTCGCCAGTTAGAAAGATAGAAAGAGACCTCCTGGGGGTAATGACTAAGCCATGATGCCAGCACAGTTTTATTGTTAATTCCGCAGATGTAATTTCGTATTATTTCCCTCTCGGATTTCACTTGAATTCCGCACTAAATAGTTGGAATACCCCGATTAGCGATTTTCCATTAAAAATCCATGATCTATTCGAGTATTGCCATTAGAGTAATTGGATCTTTTTCGAACGTTTCACTCCGTTCGGCTTGGTTGGCCAACTGTTAAGCCAAGATTATCAGATGGCCAATTAGTAGTCGAGGGTCTTCGGGCTTAAGTTGTGGCTTTCATTAGTTTGTTCACCTGTTTGTTTTGCTAGTGTCATTCTACCAGTTATTCCATAACTGAATCACACGTTTTGTATTTTAATTTTTCTCGCTTTTTGATGACTTGCTAATTTATGCAGAGCGTGGGTCCAGTACCGGCCTGCTTTTGCTTAGAGGAAGTTGCCCCCATCCCCCTCTCCTTCCACCATATGGTATACTAAAGTAAACAATTGGCATGACCTAATCCCATAAGTGGGCGGGGTCCAGGGGAACCACTTCCTTGGCTTTGTGCCGAGTTCATAGGCCCACACGTGCCTTCGCCAGAGGCTTATCAATCAATCTTCAGGCTCCAACAAACTTTTACACCGAAAGGAATTGCCATAATATACATTTTGTGGGTTTAATGAACTTCATGCCGAATATTTGTAATGCGAAGTCCATTGCTTCCTCATCGACGTCTTTCTCAGATAATGAAGTCACGCCTGATTGTAAAAGTCTGTCTACAAGTCTTACAGAAAAAATATGTCTGCTTATTTGTTATACATATATATTTTTTATTCAACTTTTTTGGTCAAACTAAATTTTATACTATGTATATTTATATATTTTCAACATTTTTCTCTGTGGAAATAATACTTTGAAAGCTTTTTCCCAAAACACTGGTGTATACAAAAAAGTCAGAGTAAAAGTAGAGCAAACTTTTTACTTCTGCTCTGCCAATGACCTTTAATTACCTTTCACTCAAAAAAAAGAGGAAAGGCAATCGTAAAAAACGCAAAAAACACAAAATTTTCAAGCTGGGACTATAATATTGAAGGCAAACATTCGCGAAACATTAAATTGAGTCATCTGATAAGCCCCAGACAAATATTGATCAAGCAAATAACAGAATCACAACTTAGCACATAATCTAGAATTTTATATTTCTCTTTTCTCAAATAGCACGGCAATTCTCAAAGTCGGTGGCATAGGGGTAAATTCCCATCCAGAAACAAATGAAAAATTAGCACCATTAAAAATGCAAAAGTTCATTAACTAAGAGATACACAAATTGAGTGAAAATTATTTTTACTTAAATAATGTACTAAGCTAAACACAGCTAAACAGCTGAACACGTGTAAATTATGGGTCTATAAAGCCATATAGTAAACAATCTTGCGAAATTAATCGAAGGTTTATAGATACTAATTAAGGTCAAAGGTATAATACGAAAAAGTGAGAAGTTTGTAGGCAAAGCTTTTTCGTTGATTAAATTTTTCATAGATAGAAGTTTTTATCAGAAATAGAACTCGGAATTGATATATTAAAACCAAACAAATTGGTAAAAACAAGTTATAAAAAAATATTACTCTACTTAAACCAGTTTTTTCTGTGTGTTTAAAAAATTTTTAAAGTGAAAAAGTTCTCGCAAATTTATTTTTCATGAAAAACATTATTATATATATGTATATAGTTTTCCTATTGGAACACCATTAAAATTCTTCATGTAATCTCTTTTCAGGAAACTTTTAAAGTGCAGAACGCAGTGCTGACAGCATGGAAACGGAGTCGCTGAATCGGAAGAACTCCTCGCGGAAGAGTTCGATTGTGAATGGAAACGGGAGTGGAGATGCCTCCGCGAAGTTGACCAATGGCGATGGGGGGGATGGTGGCGATGGAGGCGGCGGAGGTGAAGTGACCCTGAAGGCCAAGATGAGTCTGCTCAATGGCTGCACGGTCATCGTGGGCTCCATCATCGGATCGGGCATTTTTGTGTCGCCCACGGGAGTGCTAATGTACACAGGCAGTGTTAACCTGGCTCTCATCGTATGGGTAATTTCCGGACTCTTCTCGATGGTGAGTGCAATGCATAAAAAAAACCTGATATGGAAATGGCAGTAGGGCATTCGATAGCCTAGACACCTGTTGCCATTGCTCCAGGTGTAAATAACCTGCTGGTAAATAACAGCTGGCTTCGGAAAATGAAAATAACGAGTGGGTGGAACTTAGCAAAGGACTTTCTCATTCAATTACGAATGCTAGCGGAGTGCCTCTGGGTCCCTTAATGAAATTATTGAAATTCCTGAACCCAATTCAAGAACCACCAACCAACACCCACTCGCACACGCACACTCGCTAAGACACGCACACAAACATGACAAGTCCATGTCAAACGCACTCGATGCGGCTTCAACTCAATAAAATTACGTATACGCAGCACTGCCACTGACAGATGACAACGATTGCGCACTCCCACAACACTTTAAAGCAACCTATATATTTACAGTATTTACCAAAAAGGTCTAAGGAAAAGCATCGATGCTATATTTTTTTCTTTAAAACCTTTAGCACAAATTTCAAATATAAATACAACTGCGCACGTCCTTTCTTCTCAGGAATAATTTTGTAATTTGCAAAATACAAATGCTTTTACTCTATTTCGATATATATAAGGTTTATTAAAAATTGATGAACAATTGTAATGCTTCTTTTCAATGAAAAGATGTAGAAAGCCATGTTTTTATTTAGAAAACCAATGTAAATGTTTATTATTATTTATTATTTAATCTATTTAAAACAGTGTTCCAATTATTTAAAATCGTACATTTCATCAACTTGAGAATACTGAGCAGCTTAACATTGTGAATTTATTGTATCTTTCAGGTGGGTGCCTATTGCTATGCAGAGTTGGGAACGATGATAACCAAGTCGGGAGCTGACTACGCCTACATCATGGAGACCTTCGGACCCTTCATGGCCTTCATCCGCCTGTGGATCGAGTGCATGATCGTGAGACCCTGTTCGCAAGCCATAGTGGCCCTCACTTTCAGCACGTACGTCCTGAAGCCCTTCTTCCCGGAATGTTCTCCGCCGGAGGATTCAGCCCGCCTACTCGCCGTTTGCTGCATACGTGAGTTTCGATCGTTTTCTAAAGAAATAATGTTAATTCTAATGGGCGGAAGAACCTCCCCTGAACCGCAATCTGTGGACTCGCGTACTTGACCTATAGATTAGAAACAATTTAAATGCATCCCCCGAGTGTCGAGCAAATAAACACGCTGAAAGAGTTTGCCATGTCAGGCTTATCAGTGTTTTGTTTTTATTTCTGCTTTGCAACAAATTCAGATTGGACTATACAAAAATGTGGCAGTATCTGGAAAATAAAAAATGATCACAGTTATTATTAAGCGCATAAGTAAATAAAAACACAAACTAAATAGTTGAGGTTGGAAAAACATTTTATGAGTCGTCTGGTTTTTATTATAAAACCTTCATAAACATAAATGTGCCACAGCTTCTTAATGGAAAATCACTTTCCCATTAAGTTTTTAGAGTTCAAACCCGAACTCACTTGTTGATTGTCGCCGCTTCCCCCATTACATATTTGATAGTATTAATACTGATTTAATTGCCCGGAATCAAGTGCGTTTGCATGAGACAATAGCAATAAATAACGAGTTGTCACATTGTCACATGAAAGTCCTCGCGTTATTACATCACCCACATGGGTCGTTCGCATCTCTGGGTTTTTATCTTCGGCGTGACACCGAAGTCGTGATGGTGGCTCGAATGTGGGTTAAGCGGCCTGCTCAATAAACACATTTTCATTTTCCATTTTCCCATTTGGCTTTTTGCAGTCGTGCTAACCCTAATCAACTGCTGGGATGTTAAATGGGCGACCGCTGTGCAGGATATCTTTACGTATGCCAAAGTAAGTCGGATAAATGTGATTTCCTGGGGGAAAACATACTACGTCTCACTCTTTTAGCTGCTGGCCCTGTTTGTCATCATTGCCACTGGCATATACCAACTTTCACTGGGCAATGTGCAATACTTTACTTTCGAGAATTCGGACACTAAAGTAACCTCCATTGCATTGTCCTTCTACTCCGGTCTCTTTGCTTACAATGGATGGTAAGCGGATTTGAATTCCTTCGGGTAGACCGTTGCTAATTGGCTTTGTTTGCTCTGCTGTTGACAGGAACTACTTGAACTTTATTATTGAGGAGCTGAAGGATCCCGTCAAGAATCTGCCCCGCGCCATTGCAATCAGTTGCACGCTGGTCACTGTGGTCTACGTCATGGCGAATGTGTCCTTCTACACCATTTTGTCGCCGGATGAGGTCCTGGGTTCCTCGGCCGTGGCAGTGACATATGCGGAGCGGGCCTTTGGCATGCTGGCATGGACCATTCCAGGTGGGTGTACCCAAACGCACCCAAATTATAGAGTGGCAGTTACTTATGCTTGGCCTTGACTCTTTTCAGTGTTCGTGGCCTTGTCTACTTTTGGAGCAGTTAATGGCATCCTGCTGACCTCCTCGCGATTGTTTTATGCCGGAGCCAACAATGGCCAGATGCCCGAGATCCTCACCATGATCCAGATCCAGAGATTCACGCCCACTCCTGCGGTTTTGGCCATGGCCTTGCTATCCATGTTGTACCTGACAGTATCTGACATTTTTGCGCTGATCAACTATGTGGGCTTTGCCACTTGGGTGAGAAATATTTCACACATAATAGTTCCAAATTCATGAATTTCTTATGGCATTAAAAGCACAATTTACCATGTCTTGTATTATAATTTTTTTTTGAACATTTTTCAGCTGAGCATTGGAGTGGCTGTGCTGTGCCTGCCCTGGTTGAGATGGGCCCAACCCAATCTTCCCCGACCCATCAGAGTGCCCATGGTGTTCCCCATTGTCTACCTGATTGCCACCATGTTCGTGACCGTGGTGCCCATGTACGCCAGTCCCGTGGAGACCGGATATGGCATCCTGATGATTCTGTCCAGCATACCCGTCTACCTGGTCTTCATCGCCTGGAAGAACAAGCCTATTTGGTTCCAAAAGACCATGGGTAAGTGGTCAGCCAAGCTAATCTAATTCACTGAAAAGCTTCTTTCTCTGTTATGTTGATTTGTCACGTGAATCCCACCCATTTTTCATATTCTAGGCGGACTAACACAAGTTCTACAGAAAATGATGATGGTTGTGCGTCCCAAAGCGGCGTCAAAGGTTTTTAAGTTTGCTATTTTATCCTAGACTTACTTTGGTTTTAACATTCGAATCACCTGCCTGCCTTTAATTCAGCACTAATGTCTGAAAAATAGTACTAACCAATTTACTTTGCACCCCTAACTCTAGCTAACAAGTAGATTAATCAGTTCAATGACATTAAACTTATGCCAATTTTATTTTTCTTACCTTTCAGTAAGCCTCACCCGATTCCTACAGAAACTGCTCATGGTACTCGGCAAGCAGACGAAACCAGCTCAGGTGTAAAAAGTACAGAAAGTTTGGGAATGTTTGGAAAGAATAGCAGAGATTAGATTTCAAGTTAGCCAAGAGCAGAGAAAAGCATTTATAAGCACACATTTGATTGCATTCTTGCATTATATAGACAACGTAAACGCTTTTGTGTAGCCAACCAATGATATACATCAAAAACACACGAAAATTTCTGCCAGCTTCTGGGCGATATATACTATACACATATATATTTTTATATACCCAGGGTAAGTTGTGTCCAGTAGGTTTACTATAAATACTAAATTAAGGCTCAGCTCTGGTTGCTTGCTTCATGAAAAGACTGTGGAACAAAACGGAAAAATTACAAGGGAAACAAGTTGTCCAGTGCTGAACATTAATTTGGTTTTTGATTTTGGCATTTTTAATAAAACTGTGCAGGCGTAACGAGTCTATAGAATTTTCGAGAAATTTCAGAAAAGTTAAATACACTTTTAATACTGTGAAACCTCCCATGAAAACTACTATTAAATTTACAATTCTGTTCGAAAGAAAGTCCAATTTAGCTATGAAGTAGAAAAGCTAGAAGAACGCTTGAACATACTCAACAGACGGATCTACAGAGAATAATTTAGAGCACATTTTGATTATTTTTCATAGATTTTAGGTGGTTAAGATTAAATGGCACTGCAATGTTATTTCAGCTGTTTGGTTTAAGTTAATATTATGATTAGATTGCTCAGGTTTCATTTGTGAGAGACCTTCCTGTACAATCCTGGTTGAATCTAGCTTACCTCACGAATACAAAAACCATCGCCTAATACACATATCCAACAAGAGAAACGATTTAAAGTTGTTTAACGATAACAGGAACATTGCCAACATACATATTGATATATATTGAGAATAACACTATATGCTAATTGTTGTCTAATTACGTATACCAATCGAATTGAATTGAGCTAGCATTGATTTTGAACATTCATTAGTTGTTGTTGCTTTGAGTGTTTGGCATTCAGTGTTATTCTAAACAAAATATTATTGCCTATTTAGCATTCAACTATTTAACTGTTACACATAAAGGGTATGAAGCCGCAGCTGGGGAATCTGTTTAACTACTATGAAACATATTGTTGACAATAATAATGTATTTATATATAAATGTATATTATATTATATGTATACCCTTAAAACTGTCTTTCTGGAAATAAGAACGATAAAGTAAACAGAATATTTATGTTGCATTCTTTCTTTTACTTGGGGGGAAAAGTAGTTTTACTAGACATCACAAGCTGTCCGTGGCATTTAGTTAAACTCCTAGTCCCCGTAAATGCTGGAATCCGGCGTATTTATGTACTGAATCAAACCGAGCCTTAGGTTCTCGAACTCCCTTTGCTTGAGTGACTTTTCCGCTTCTGAAAGTTCGTAGTTTTTGGTGCTGATGTAGACCTTTAAAGTGGAGGCATAGGTGGTTTTCTCGGCTTCCACTTCGAGCCTCTTAAATTCTTTCTTCAAGACAGAGTATACTTTCCTCGTGGAATCCAATTGCAGAACAGCTCTTGGCGGCCTTGCTCCATCGCCACCACTTTCGTCATTCTCTTCGCTCAAATCCTGGTTAATGGATCTAATTTCACTGCGCAAACCCAGACTTTTCCTCCTGTACAGCTCTACAAAGTGCTGTTCCATGGCCAGTTTTAGCTCTGCGAACTTGGAGTCTATGCGACCATACCAATAGGCCAAGCCATTGTAGTCCTCGTCCGAGAACTTGGCCGTGCGACGCCAATGGGCCAGCGAAACATTCGGCACAGATCTCACGGAACTGTGGATTTCAGTTCCTATTTTCCTGTTTAACTTGCCGAAATTTATAGTACTCTGAGAGATGGTCATTACTTTTCGGACTTTCTGCAAGGAAGCAAAGGCCAGATCAGCTAGTTTTAAGATCTTGCGCCTATCATCACTTAAATCGGGTGCAATGGGCAACTCAAAGATGACTACTGCAGGCTGGAGAGACTTGAGGTCAAAGGACTCTTTCAGGCAGTCGTTCAAAAGGGTGCTTCCATTTAGCCTGCCCTGTGGCAAACTTCTGAAGAAGTCAACTAAATCAGGTCGACTTTCGCTGCCAAAGATGTGAAAGACTGAAAGGTGAATCCTGTGCTGCAAGGCCATGCTATCTCGGTACACAAACTCAAAGTCTAGATAGTCGTCGCCCAGGCCACGACCTCTTAAGTTGGTAAAATCATTAATTAGCCATTGGTACAACTCCCTGGTGCTGCAGACACTTTTTACCGCAGTGTTACACCTTCGACGGTTAGGAACTGCATTGGGTTCCACCAACATGTTGACCATGTCGAATTTCCGGACATCAAAATAGTCCACATTAACGGCTTTTAAGCGGCAGCGCAGTTCCACCATTAGTTTGTCCACTTCTGTGACCAAGAGACGGGTTAGAAAGTTGGGGTTTTGGTTCCTCTGGAGGGAGGAAAAGCGCAGCAAACTTCCATGACGATGATTCCGAATCATTTGGGCCATGAAATCGCTCAATTCTGTGCGAATGCTGGGCTCGAGTTCATAGCCGATGGCATCGAACTCCAAATGGCGATAGTAGCGAGGAGGTTCCCAGGAGTTCACCACCTTAGCTGTGGAGTTTTGCATCCTTAACAACATGGACTTATTGTCCAAGATCCTAATATCATTCTCCAGAACTGTAACTTCCGCAGAACCACGTTTTTTGTCATCTGTAAGAGCCACCAGCACTCGGTGGTTTTTTTTGCTCGCCGGATGACTGTTCATTTCTTCCTTTTTATGTTTTAACAACCAATTTTAAGCACGAGAATTTTGATAGACTAAAAGTAAGACAGCTGTCTCATATCGTTATTTGAGAATACATTGTAGTTTTTAACCAATACACAGGTAAATTATATTTTTAAGGGAGTACACGCTTGTTGATTTGATCCAGATTCGCCTGCGAAGCCTGTAGAAAATGGCCAAATTCGGTATGGGCTGTCCGCTTTAGAAGCTTCTCAAATTGGGCCAATTGGTCATCGAATCGTTGCCTATAGCCCTTCAGCTGTTCTGCCTTTTGGATGTACTGCATTAGACTGTCATGGACCAGCTTAAAACGATCATGGACCTCCTGTTGTTGGACCTCCACCTGATTCAATTGGGCACTAGTGGATGGCTGGGCGTACAAGAAATAAATGTTATCATTGTTACAAAAATTGTATATCCGATTTAAATAAAATGTGAAATCATAATTACAAATACCATGCCTATAAAACTACATGATCTAATACAAAAATATTTAAATGAATGTTCATTTATTATGTTATACGGTTTGAATTTAAAATCAATTTTCAGATATTGAAATCTAAGCCGAAAATAGTCAAATGCAAATTGTATTATTTCTATATTAAAACTAAAAACCGTAATGGATGAATTTAAAATCTTTCCGAAAATATTCAAGTAAGTATTTTTAAATTGAGTATGAAATACTGGAATTAACATTTTTTTTACCAGTGAAAGCTGGTAGTAGCTTTTACTTACCAAGTTTTCAGGCTGGTTTTTATGCTGCCGACTAATAAAATGGGCTAGGCTGAGTAACTCTGCGTTTTGGGCATCCACCTGGGAGTTGGTGGACATGATATGGACCAGTACAGCCGTGTATGGGAGTTGTCCATGACTTCTTTTGGAAACGTGCAGCATGAAGGATAAGAGTTCAGTGGCCACAACCGGTGAGGTTGAGTGCTCATCACGAAAATAGCAATGAAGTCCATGCAAGGACGTCACACTTAGCTCTTCCATGGCCACTAGAAGGACAGACAGACGGACAGTGAACTGGATGTGCCTCTCCTGCGAGGACACCACGTACTCCACCTCCAGAACTTCGTGACCTGGTCCGGTCCTGAGACCTGACAGCATACTGTAGTGATGGATGATCCATTCTGTCAGGTCATGAAGGATGTTGAAGGAGCACTCCGCTTGCAAGTTGTTGCCATCTTTCCTCTCCAGAAGTTTCCGGAACTTCACTATGCAGCGATCCAAATCGAGACCCTCACGCTTGAGCTTCGTTTTCACATCAAGAACCAGGGTGTTTATGAGGAAGATCATGTGGCATTCACGTTTCACTCGCAAATGCATAAGGAAGGCATCTCGTCTTCTAACAAAAAGATTGTTAAGCAGCAGGGGAATCTCGCCCAGTGGGTCCAGCACATCGCAGTGCAATTTTTGGGCCATCAGCAGGTGGGGATTGGCTGCATCTTGGCAGTAGAGCAGTTGCAGACTGTGCTCGTCCAGAATTCTGACCTGGCCGCCATGTTGAAGGGTCGGATTTTGGTCACTATTAGATGCATAAGACTCTTGTAATTTTTCTGGCTCTCCAACAGATTTGTTATCTCTCAACTGAACCATAACTCGGATCTGCTCCATATTTCCAAATACAATTTAAATAAACACGAAAAACGAGATATTTGTGGACTAGAAACAGAAAAAGCATTACACTGGCCTATTCACCGTTACAGCTGAGCTTTAATGAGCAGTATTTTGAAAAACAAACGATCTTCGTCTACCCAAGTGAAGCACCCCGTCCAGTTAGAGATTTACGGTTCTTGATTTAAGTTTGATGAAAATGGTAATTTTAAATAATTGGGAAGGCTCTAAAATTATCTTATTGTTATGTGGGCGAAACTTATTCAAAACTCTTAGTTCTATTAAGCAGTATATGAGTCGTCACTGACTATATCATATCTCTGCCATAGAAATAAGCGGATTCAAAATGTATTTTCTCTGTCACAGTAAAAAAATTATAATTATAAAGAAATATATTTTTTATTTTATAAATGTTAACTTGTAGTACAGCTGTCATAAGAACGATCGAAAAATGTGCTAAAAAAGTGGCATAACTTAATGGTTTTTTTGACATAAACGCATACAAATAAATACACAGTCGTTTATTATAATAAAGAATTTAAACTTTGATTATAGCTGCAATGTTAAATAAACAGTATTGTTCAGCTTCCTTAACTTAAACAAACTTTTTCTTTAGTATATTTTTTTTGTTTTTAAATTGATAACACTTCCTCAAAGCTTTAATCATGCTAAATGCAAAAATTGACAAGGTTACGAAAAAGGCTAGGAAAAAAGTGGTCAAGACATCCAGACTGTGGTAGATAAAGAAGTCCAATTCCCGTCCTGCCACTCGCATATGAGCCGCTCCATTATGCCGCAGGACATAGTGGGTCCACCAGATGGCCGTTTCCAGAGGCTTCATGGGCTTATCCCTGTATCTGGCACCCGTAATTTTGGCCATAACCTCGAAACTCTTCTCAGTGAGTAGCCTAACAATGGTGGAATTAAAATCCTCTGCTGTCATTTCCTTTAAGTTTAAAATTAAGCCCAGACCCATACGGTGAACATGTTCCATATTTCGGAATTGGTCGAAAAAGCAGGGCAAACCCAACATAGGCTTAGCATGATGGATACTCTCTATGGTGCTCAGCAATCCGCCGTGGGTTATAAAGAGCCTTACTTGGGGATGGGCCAGAACATCTTGCTGCGGGAACCATTTGCTTATGAAAACATTTGGGGGTTTTCCTGGCAACTGCTCATCCTCGAATTTCCACAGGACTCGCTGGGGTAGATGGGCAAAAGTATTAAGCAGCAATTTTCGACGATCCTCAGACAGGGACTTGCTTTTGACATTGGTGCCCAGAGAAAAGTAGATGACTCCAGCATCACCAGCACCCTGAATAAATGCCTCCAGTTCATTGGGCAAAGGTTTGGGATCTGGATCTACATGCATACCACCCACTTCGATCATATTCGGAACATATGGACGTGGAGGAGCCAGAGTGAAGTGCTGATTGACAAGCACTAAGGCAAAGTTTCGTGAAGTCTCAGCTAATGTGTGCTTGTTAGCTATATTCGGGAAGTATTTCTTATAGAGGGCCTTCTGTTTCTCCACATGTCTCCATTTATAGTTAATCCAGGAAATAGATCGTTCCACAAAATGCGACAGACGTCCTCCATAGGTCTCCAGGTTGTGAAAATGAGAAGAGGGCGATTGGAGGTACGAAATCGGTGAGATATTACCAACTAGTTCGTCGATCTTCCAGTCAGTGCCATAGGGTGCCATTCCAATGATGGGCACCTCCAAGTAGGCCGCCAGCCCACAAAGAGCGTCCATCCGCCAAAGATCCATTATGATCAGGTCGAAACGTGGACTTTTTGGGCTAAGAACCTCTCGCCTTACTCCTTCATTATTCAGCACCGACTTTGTGAGATTAAGGGTATATTCGTTGATAAAATCGCTACTTTGCCAGGTAGTTTTGGGGGTTTTTACAAATTCTAGGATTTCTGGAAGAAAAACAATATTTAATTTAATACTGAAATATTTCACTAAATGAGACAAACAAAAGTAATAAAACAAGTAAAAAAAGTAATAAAACAAAAATAATAAGATTTTAAAATCAAATCCAAAAATAGTCTAATAAAAAACTAAAAACAAAATGTAATATATATATTAAATTAACATAAGATAACCGAAACCAAAGAAAATCAAACCAAAAAATATTAATATTAATATTAACATAAATTCATTTTATACATTGTATTCCCACTTACCATTAAAATTTTCAAACACTTCAAGAACAGGAACTTCGTATATATTCTTAATCGGTTCCTTCAGAGGATACGGACTCACAGAGATTATTTCATGGCCCTCAGAGGCCAAACTCTTTAGGTAGGGAAGGGCGAAAAAGTAGTGTGAAGGACTCGGTATGGGAAACAGTGCCAGGATGCGAGCACTTTCCAAGTAACAGGGTTGGAGACAGACCAGTAGGAAAATCCAAAGCATTTTTATACATGGGATGTTCTGCCTTCAAGTTCAAACGAAGAACTGAATGGTATTGCTCCCAAAATTTAAAACCTCATCTTCATAACAGATAAGGTTTATTTACAGTGTATAGGGAAATAATAAACTGTCAAATGTTCCCTTAGATAAGCAAAATCAACAGAAAAAGACAAACGAGAAAAATAAAGTTATTTATTTTCGCGATCTACACCTTTGTCTTTAATGTGTTATCTGCAGGTACCGAAATATTCGATTTTTTGTTTTGTTTTCATTCAAAATAAAAGCCCATTAAACAAGTGAAAAAGAAAATAATTTAAAATTAAAAAGTTTTTAAAGCTTACAATGTTATACAAAACGTGTGATATTTTTAAAATAAAAATATATATTTATAATTTTTTCGTACTTTATTCGCTAATTTCATTCTTCAATTGGCTAAAGCTAAGCACTTAAATACCTACTTAAAAGTTTCATTTTATTTAAAAATTGTACAACAATTGCCCGCCAAAACATCGATAACACCAATATCCACCAATCGGATGGTGGATGTAGTCTGTGGGAGCATCATATTTGTCAAAAGTACTAGGGATGGACTGCGTGGAAAAACACTTATAAATTGACTATCGCGACTGTTCCACCTCTAGCCCTATAGTACAAAACACGCAAAAAGTTTTATATTACGGAAAATTCACAGAAAAGTGCAACAAGTTGACACTTTTATGCAATAAAACGTTAATTGTTGTGGGAGTAAACCAATTGGCAATAACTTATCAGTCGAAAACATAAGCAAAGTAATGCAGATCGCAGCTGATTGGGAAACAGCTGGCAGCGCAGTACCGGAAATATTGCAACGGCTGCAAGTCTTATAACCCGGCGTAAAAAAGTATCCAGTATTTTAAAGCCCCCAAATGTTGGTTAAGCCCTTCAATTGAGATTGAATGATCAAAAGGCGGACGAAATGGCTGCAGCGAAGGAATCTTTTCGCGAGCGACAGATCCAGGAATTGGAGGTTATAAAGGTAGGTCGCTTATTTACCTGCTAACTTGACCATACTTATCCAGATTCTCGATTGAAACAGTCCATCTTTGGCGGCGATGTGGAGGACCTAAGACCCCAGGCGAATTCTACGCTTTGGAAGCCCACGGACGTTAGGATACAGCTCACCCCGCTGAGGGATTCCTCCAATGGACTGGAGGCCTACGTCTGCACCAAACTGCATGTCACCTGTCCCTCGAAATACCCAAAATTGTGAGAAACAATACCATTCCAGAAGCATACAGCATAACTAAACAATGCCCTTTTCCTTAGGCCCCCTAAAATTTCTCTCGAGGAGTCCAAGGGCATGTCGGATCAGCTGCTGGAGGACCTGCGCAACCGACTGCAGACCCAGTCCCAGGAGCTGCGCGGCGAGGTGATGATCTACGAATTGGCCCAGACCGTGCAGGCCTTTCTGCTCGAACACAACAAGCCGCCCCAGGGCTCCTTCTACGACCAAATGCTGCAGGACAAGCAGAAGAGGGACCAGGAGCTGCAGGACATGCAGCGCCAGCGCGAATTCCTGCAACGACAGACGCTCATCGACGAGGTGGAGCGTCGCAAGGAGATGTTCAAGACAGAGGCCAAGAGACGCGGCGAACCGAGGCGCAGCATGAGCGAGTCCAATCCGCGGCATCCCAGCTCCTCGGAGAGCTCCGAAAACTCATCGCCCTACTATCGTGGTCACATCTACTCCTCCAAGTGCCTGGATCACCGCAACACGGAGACGCTCTATTTCCACAAGATGGGCAGGCAAATTCAGCGGGGCAGCTGTGTGGGTGAGCCCTTTTCCTGGTTTCCTCTCCAGGTGGTTATTAAAAGGGTTTCCTTTACCTTACAGGCCACTCCCAACGTGGGTGCATTGCCTACACCGGCATAGACATGCACTGCGGCCAGTTGCTCTACATCACCGAGTGGAACATCAAGTACGGCCAACTGGAGCAGCCCTGCAGCGGCGGTGGAAAGTGTCACTGGGGCAGCGAGCTAAAGTGCCTGGGCAGTCATCGTGTAGACGACGTTATCGCCTCCATTGAGCGGCAGGTGGCCGCGTTAGCCCAGTTGCAGCACAAGAACCTCGTCTCTTACGAATGCGTGCTCTGCATCAAGCGCAAGGAGGGATTACTTGTGTACTTGGTGCAGGACTTCCTACTCGGCACCAGTGTCTTTAGCATCTCCTCCTCGCTGGGGTGGTGCATGGATGTGGATGGCGCACGAGTGGTGGCCCGTGGCGTGCTGGATGCTCTGGTTTTCCTGCACAACAAGGGTGTGTCCCACAGCCATTTGCTGGATAGCACTGTTTTTATGGACAACACGGGCATTGTGCGCGTCTCGGACTTTTCGCTGGTGCCCAATCTTCTGGAGCTTCTCAGCGGAGCGGGACAAAGCAGCAGTCGCGGAGATCTGCCCGCCCTAGGTGCCCTAGTGGAGAGCCTGCTGCCCACCAACAGCTACGAGATGCGGGACTTTGTGGACAAGTAACTAAGTGACTTCAAATATTAAGTTGTTCCAATCCTAATGCTTTATATGCTACAGATGCAACTCTGACCGCACGCTTTCCGCTTCGGAGCTCCTGGAGCATCCATTCCTGCGGTTCTATGTGGACAATGGCCAGCAGCAGTTAATGCAATTACCACAGCAGCGACATCCCATTCCAGTTCAGCGCACGGGACCCGCCATGCCCTATCAGATACCTACACTGGCTTTGAGTCAATCCCGCCTGCGAACCGAGTTTGAAGTACTCATGTACTTGGGCAAAGGGGCCTTCGGAGACGTTTTAAAGGTGCGCAACATTCTGGACAACCGGGAGTACGCCATTAAGCGGATACCACTGCCCGCGAGGAGTCGCCAGTTGTACAAGAAGATGACGCGCGAGGTGGAGCTGCTTTCGCGGCTGAATCACGAGAATGTGGTGAGGTATTTCAACAGTTGGATAGAGAGTGTCGATGATGCAGATGCGGCGGAGATGGACAAGTTGCTGGGTGGCGAGTGGTCGCAGAGTCAGCAGGAGCTCAGCGTTAAGCCAGCCAAGTCGCCGCAGCTTGGTCCCACTTTGGAGGAGGATGAGGACGAGGATGACAGCTCGTCCAGCATGTGGAATGGTTACATGTAATTAATATTACTTTCTTTCTGAGCTTAAGCAAAATAAGTAGCTGGTTACTTCTCCCGCAGACCCACCATGGAGGATTCCGATTCGGATGGCATCGAGTTCGTGGACTCCGATGGCAAGGTGGCTGTCTACGATGACGAGGAGCAGGAAGACTCCATCCAAGGCAAGACCAACTCGCCCAGACCTTTGATGCAAGTCATGTACATCCAGATGGAGTTCTGCGAGAAATGCACACTGCGGTGAGTTTAGGAAAGGATTTCATTGTAAACATAATTATAATATTAAGATATAATCTTTCCCTTTAGCACCGCCATCGATGACAATCTCTTTAACGACACGGATCGCTTGTGGCGTCTGTTCAGGGAGATCGCCGAAGGCCTTTCGCACATCCATCAGCAGGGAATCATCCATCGTGACCTCAAGCCGGTGAACATATTTTTGGACTCGCACGATCAGATCAAAATCGGAGACTTTGGCCTGGCCACCACAAGTTTTCTGGCTTTGCAGGCCCACGAGTATGCGGCACCAGTTCCAGTTAACCAGATAATCAGCGCGGAGGATGGCACTGGCACGGGAAAGGTGGGCACTACGCTCTACGTGGCTCCCGAACTCACAGGCAACGCCTCCAAGTCCATTTACAACCAAAAGGTGGACATGTACACTCTGGGCATCATTTTGTTCGAGATGTGCCAACCTCCCTTCGACACAAACATGGAACGGGCTCAGACTATAATGGCCCTACGGAATGTGTCCATCAACATACCGGAAACAATGTTAAAAGATCCCAAATACGAGAAGACAGTGAAGGCAAGTTATAACTCTGTTAAGACCAATAGTAGCACTGGTATATATAAAACCTTATTTTTGGTAAACATTTTTAAAAAATTGGCCTTTATCTAAACCCCATTTAGATTATAGTACAAGCTTCACTAAAATGTGAAGAAACAAATTTTAAATGGGCTTCCAAACAAATATTGATTGCTATATCCATAAGCTAAGAAAGTACTGTTATTTTCACAGCTAGTGTACTCTTGAACTAAATTTCAGATGCTTCGCTGGCTGCTCAATCACGATCCCGCCCAGCGACCGACGGCCGAGGAGCTTCTGGTCTCAGACCTGGTGCCACCCGCCCAACTGGAAGCCAATGAGCTCCAGGAGATGCTGCGTCACGCCCTTGCCAATCCGCAGAGCAAGGCATACAAGAACCTGGTGGCCAGATGCCTGCAGCAGGAGAGCGACGAGGTGCTGGAGCACACCTACCATTTGGGCAGCAGTCGGGCGATGAAATCCTGGAACTCGGCCATCATAATCGACGATATAGTGTCTCTGAATCCCGTAATTGAGTTTGTCAAGGCGAAGGTCGTAAATCTCTTCCGCAAGCATGGAGCCATCGAAGTGGACTCGCCACTGCTATCGCCACTTTCCGCGAGGAACATCAAGGCCAATGCGAATGCGAATGCCGTGCACCTGATGACCCACTCCGGTTGTGTGGTGGTGCTGCCATGCGATTTGCGCACCCAGTTCGCCCGCCATGTGACCATGAACGGCGTAAATCTCATCCGGCGCTATTGTGTGGACCGTGTTTATCGCGAGGAGCGGGTGTTCAACTTCCATCCCAAGCAGAGCTACGAGTGCTCCTTCGACATCATTGCGCCCACATCTGGCAGCAACCTGGTGGATGCGGAACTCCTATCGTTGGCCTTTGAGATTACCAGCGAACTGCCGCGTCTGCGGGAAAAGAATCTGGCAATCCGCATGAACCACACGAATCTTCTGAGGGCCATCCTCATCTTCTGCAATGTGCCCAAAGCGCAGTATGGAGCTCTGTTCGAGGGCACCATGGACTTTATCGAATCTCGCATCTCCCGCTTCCAATTCCACTCGAGCATCACGGGCATTATGGAGAAGTCGCGCACCTCTGCGCAAACCCTGATGGACATGTTGTTGGCCAACTTTCTGTTGACTGGCTCCCGCAGCACGGTGGACGATTCGGCTCTGAAGTCCCTGATGCGCGGAAAGGGAGAAGCAGCTTCGCTGGCGAGAGGAGCTCTGAGAGAACTCGAAACTGTTGTGGGATTAGCCTACAGTCTAGGCGTAAAGGTCGGTTATCTGTCAGGCATCACCTTAAGTTTGATTATTCTAAGGTAACCAACCCATTCCCTTTCAGTGCCCCATTCAAATTTGGGCTGGTCTTCCCATTAGCTTCGATCGTGCCAGCAGCGGTGGCATCGTGTGGCAGATGACCGCCGACCTTAAGCCCAATCGCTCTGGCCATCCTTCGATTTTGGCGGTGGGTGAGCGGTACGATGCCATGCTGCACGAGTTCCAAAGGCAGGCGCAGAGCTTTAATCCCGCCCTGTCCGCACGTGGTGAGCTCAGTGGGGCAGGCCTGTCCTTTTCCCTGGACAAACTGGTGGCTGCCGTGGGTGTGGAGTACGCCAAGGATTGCCGGGCCATCGACGTGGGCATTTGTGTGTGCGGAACTCGTCCGCCCCTCAAGGATGTGACCTACATTATGCGCCTGCTCTGGTCCGTGGGCATCCGATGCGGCATTGTGGAGGCCTCCAGCGAACTGGGCGATGAGGCACAGGACCTGGCGCGGCTAGGAGCCTTGCATGTCATCCTGGTGGCCGAGAATGGCTCGCTGAAAGTGAGATCCTTTGAGCGGGAACGCTTCCAGGAGCGGCATCTAACGAGAACCGAGCTGGTGGAGTTCATTCAGAAGCTGATAAGGACAGAAGCGATAAGCGGAGCCGCCGTAGACAACCCCAACCAACTGTCCAACTTGAGTGCCGGCGACAGCAACAGGAGCAGTGGTGGCCGGGAAAGGGAGAACGGACTCAGCACCTCCGCCTCGAATGTCAGCATCAAGAACAGCTACAGCCAGCTGCCGAATCTACAAGTCACCTTCCTTACCCACGACAAGCCAACGGCCAACTACAAGCGACGTCTGGAGAACCAGGTGGCCCAGCAGATGAGCTCCACTCTGGCGCAGTTCCTCAAGAAGGAAACCTTCGTGGTGGTGGTGGTGGAGTTGCCGCCGGCGGTCGTAAATGCCATTGTGGGGGCCATCAATCCCCGAGAAATACGCAAAAAAGAGACTGAACTGGAAATTAACTTTGTGATCGAGCGGTGAGCTATTCTCCCTCACGTTTATACATTATTATTATAACAGCTTTTATCCACTTGAAGATTTCCAAAATACAAACGCTATATATCCGAGATAAACGACGAGGTTGTGGACTTTCTGACCGATGCCAAGACTCCAATAGTGGCCTTGTACAGCATTTCCGATTCCTACTACCGCGTCATCATCTAACCCACGCCAAATGCATAGAATCGGCGGGACTACTTAGTAGAGTGTCACAAACTAATTCTGCCTTATTGGATTATATTCCGATGCCATTTAACTTTTTCGAATCAAAATTCGTTTTTATAAGTTCAGTTATGAGATTGTTACTTTTCTGATGGTTGAACTCTAACTAAAGGAACATGGTTCTGCCAATTCATTAAATGTCTGTTAAGTGAGAGCTCTAAATAATAAGCTTTAAGATTAAATCTTACTTGGTTAAAAGTATGCTGTTCGCGCCTAAGACAAAAGAATAGTTGCAAGTTTAAAAACATATGCTAGTTCAATTTATAGAAATATATATTAACAACACAGATTGTCGAAGACTTTTAGTATCAGACTTCAAAAGAGTCTAAACCTGCATATAGAGACTTTAACTTAAGTTCAGGCGCATGTTTTACAGCGAAAGAGCTCCCATCTTGGTTTGTGATTCAGCAATAGCTTAACAAATTTATACAGTGGACGGTCATCCATATTTTATATACGTACAAGTTTTAAACACGAAATATTAAGACTACAATAAAGTTGCATGTTTTGAAAGTGTCTTCCCGCAGGGGAAACATAACAAAAGAGAACTGTACAGGTGTCTCCATGTCTCACGCCCCGTTCTCTCCGGCTGATTTGTTGAGCGATCGCGGGATTCCCAGGGCGGGTCCTTGGAGAACCTTCCGCGAGAGCCGCATGAAGCCGGAGACGGGATCGCGGCCAAAGTACTTGACCTGGATCTCCTGACCCACTTCCAGCTTTAGAGCCGATGGATGTGCAATCTTGCGCTGATCCAGCTGTGAGTTGTGCAGCAGAGCGGGTGGCATACTGGGGTACAAGATGACCATAACCCCGGTGTCCCGCAGTTCTGTGATTTTGGCAGTGTAAATTCCGCCGAACTCCAGGTCCGGCACTCGCTCCTTCACCATGTAGCCCTCGATCAGCTCCTTGGCCTCGTCCATGGCCGCTTGGGAAGGTGCAAACACGTTGAAGTGTGTCTCATCGGCAGCTGTAAGGGATGCGCCCGTCTCCAAATAAATGCGCTTCATGTGTAGGCCACTGGGACCGATCAGCTGAGCTCGTTGCTGAGGCTCCACCGTTAGGGTTTCGCTCACTGGCCAGCTCTCCTTGGGGTATTTGCTGGAAGATCGAAGGATAATTCAGGGCTAAGTTATCTTAATAATTTCTAATATACTATTCATTAATGTACAGAAACAACTGCTGATCTTTTCAGTCCAAAAAGAATCAAGCCCAATTTGAATACCTTGTTCTAAAGAGAAGCGTATTGTAGTAAGGGCATTCAAGTTATGACAAATTATTGATATTGAATCCATTTTTCAACAACGCTGACAAACGCGGTACACACTGCAAGCTACTCCATCTTTTATAAATCCTCTTAAATTAATCAATAGTGCAATAATTCTTAATTTAACTCACCGCGGCTCCCTAATAGCCTCCCCCATAATGTCCAGTATCTTGGACTTGGCTTCGGTGGCCTTCTGCAGCGATTCCATCACAACCTTGAGGGGAATGCCCGGAATCTTGAGATCCGCCTGAATGGCGGTAAAGCCCTTCCGCGTACCCGCAACCTTCATGTCCATGTCGCCCATGTAGTCCTCGATGCCCAGGATGTCGGTGAGGATGCGGTAGTCTTGCAGGTGCTTGGTGTCCTCGTTCTCGAACTTGGTGACCAGGCCAATGGCCACGCCCGCTGCCGGAGCATTGACTGGCACCCCGGCGTCCATGAGGGCCAGTGATCCGCCACAAACGCTTGCCATGCTGCTGCTGCCATTGGACTCGAGCACTTCGGAGGTGAGCCTCACGGTGAAGGGGTAATCGTTGGGCAGAGTGGGCAGCAGGGATCGTTCCGCCAAAGCTCCATGTCCGAGTTCCCGGCGACCCACTGGTCCAATGCGACCCACCTCACCCGTGGCGTACGGTGGAAACTCGTAGTGGAGCATAAAGTTCTTGGCCTTGAGGCCACCACTTTCCAGGGCAGCCAGCGAGTCCAGTTTTATGGCGCTTTCCGGCGAATCCAAGCTCACGGTGCAGAAGACCTGCGTCTGGCCACGCTGGAACAGGGCTGATCCGTGGAGCGGCTTGTACATGTCCACCTGACAGGAGATGTTCCTTAACTGGTCGTAGTCCCGTCCATCGCAGCGCAGTCCCCGCTCGAAGATCAGCTCCCGAAAGATGGCCCTGCTGGCCGCGTTGAACTGCTCGCCAATTTGCGAGGGTTCTGTGTCCGGGAAGGAGCTCCACACCTTGTCGATCACGTGGGAGCGCACCTCGTTGACGGCATTGTCCCGCGAGATCTTGTCGTGCTGTGCATCCTGGAAGATCTCCCTCAGCCGCATCTCGCACATGCTCCGCACAGCCTGCTCCAGCTCGGGATCCACCTGCGCTGCCAGCTCCACTTCTCGTTTCTGCCTGCCGTAGGCCTTCTGCAGCCGCTCGATTTCGTGGATGATGAACTGAGCCTCCCGGGTGCCTTGTTTGATGGCCTTGAGCAGGTCCTGCTGCAGCACCACGTTGCCCTTGCCCTCCAGCATGACCACGAGATTCTGTTTGGTGGCCGAGACTACCAAATCGAGCTGCGAGGACTGCAGTTCCCGACGGGTTGGATTAATCAGCACTTCGCCATCGCAGAGGCCAACGCTGGAGTAAATGATATAGGTTATTCGTTGGTTTCGAGGCTTTGAACTTACAAATTTAAATTAAGCCTAATATTTAAAAAATTCGCCATAAAACTTTATTTTTGCTAAGCCCAAGAAAAGATTTCAAGTTTCAATAAATTAGCTTTTTCTAAAAACAAGAAAACATTTTTAAAATCAAGGAATCTTTTCTCAAATGTAGAAATAAAAATAACAAATTTTCACAATTTAGAAACATTTTGTAGTGTTTTCCAGAAACTATTTTCTTTATAAAAAAGAAAGATAACCTTAAAAATATAATTATTTTCTAAAATATTTCCTAATATCAAGATAACCCTTTAAATATATAAATATTTTCTATTAAAAGCAAATGGTTCTAAAATATACAATTATTTTCTTGAATAAAATGTTTTACACGGTTTAGAAAAAGAACCTAATAATTTTAGAAAATTGTACCCTAGAATTGATGATGCGATACCATTAAAAACAAAAATAGGGCGAATTTCTTGTTTTTAGGGTTAATATTCCTTGAGTGTACTAATTACCGCACTGCTCCTATGGGTCCGTTCCAGGGAATGTCGCTCAAGGACAGAGCCATGGAGGCCGCATTGATGGCCAGGACATCGGGATTATGGACCGCATCCATGGCTAGCATATTGCACACCACCTGCGTTTCCGTGCGGTAATCCTTGTGGAACAGTGGACGCAGTGAGCGATCAATCAGGCGAGCCGACAGGATCTCCTTCTCCGAGGGACCCAGTTCGCGACGCATAAAGTTCATGGGAATCCTGCCGGAGGCGGCGTTCTTCAGCCTGTAGTCCACCACCAAGGGCATGAATCCCTGGCCCGGACTGGGCTTCGATTTGGCCACTGCGGTGACCATCACGGCGGTGTCGCCCATTTGGCAAACGGCTGCTCCATTGGCGAATCTCGCCAAGCGGCCGGAACTGAAGGTCATGTTACGTCTGCCGAGGATTGGATAGTATTTTAATGTCTGGAACTTCAGGTGGAGGGCACATACTCACCCATTGCTGAAGTTCACCTCCACCGAGGGCGCTTCTCCGGCGGAACTGCTCTGGATTTTTCGTTTCGGACCGGAACTTGAAGAACTTAAGCATCTCAGGCGATAATTGAGCAGCTTTAGCGTTTTCCTTGTGAAAATCATGGCCATTACCTAAAAGTGCCGGTTAATTCCGGCTAGGACGACTTGTCAGTAGCCTCCCAGGTATGGTTATGAACTACAGGTAAATATTACAAATATTTAATTGCTGAAACTGTTGGGTAAAATATTTCCTAAGTTTAATTTAAATTGTATACCACCTCTTTAAATAAGTGTTTTTACGAAATAAAATGCCCATTTAAAAGGAAGGTAGAGTGTGCAACATGTGTGCGACTGGCGTTGCCACATGATATAACATAAATAGTATGATTTTTAGCTAAAATAAGTTATAACTAATAATAAAATTACTGCTTTATATTAAGTTATAATAAATAAATAAATAACAAATTAATTATTTATTTATTCTAAAAGAACTGCGAATGTTTTTAGATTTTTTAAGACACTTATTGACTCAAAAGATATTTATTTATTTCTAAAACATTAAAGTTGGTTTATAAGTTTTATTTTAAACTTGCTTAACCACAATTTTTTGTGTAAAGATGAGGTATGCGATGTTTTCATTTTTTGGAAAACTTTTTTGGATTCAAATTTTTGGCTTTTGATCAAAACTTATAAGTCCATATAATTTCCAGGTTTTTACGAAATTTTATTTTTAAAAATTAAAAATTGCAAGTTTGTATTCCTTGGTTGAGGGAGTCTTTTATCTCTTTTCTATAGCTAAATAATTTTATAATATTTTAATATCCCTTGTTTGGAATATGTATATTGCAAAATCAAAAAGACTTCTTCCATGTTCAACTCCATGGTCTGAGTCCGAACTAACTAACCTATCGACAAATACTCATGTTTGCGCTACAAATTAAAATCAAAATATTCAAGATTATTTCTCACTTTTCTGCGGTCGGTCACACTGTACTCATATTTTTTCGAAAGCAGACATTTCGCGGATGAAATCAATCGCTTGTGCAAAAACCCAATTGTACCGCCGTCGTGTACCGCTCTGGAAACGCCGCCAATCCGAAAACCTGGCCAAAGTAGATTGTTTTCCGGCCCCCCACCACAATAAAAGCTTATAGCTTAGAGCCGTATTTTCCTGGTATATTTTTCGTCAGCGAAAAGCCGCGTGTGTAGTGGTGTGCGTGTATGCCAATGTGTGTGTGTGTGTGAGAGCACACTTGTTAGTGTGTGAGTTTTTTTGGTGAGAGCCACAGCAGTAACAACAAAAACAACAGAAAAGATAACCAAAATCGACAAATGCGGTCAAATTGAAAAGAAAAACAAAAATCAAAGAGTATTTCTCGCGAAAAGTAAAAAAAACCGCAGATTTCCTAAAGGAAAAGCCGGAAAATTGCCCACTAGGCGTGTCGCTGCTTCTTCTTCTTTCCAATTGTTTATGCTGCGACTGCCGTAGTGTGCGAAGGAGAGAGAGAGAAGAGAGTGAGGTAGAGAAGAGTCTTATCAACGACCACTTTCTTATCAGAATCTGCAGATCGGTTGCGAAAAGTCAAATCCATTGAAAAGGAACATTAAACGGTTAAAATAGAACATTAAACAAACAGGTGAGTCTCATTAATCAGGCTTAAATCTTGCCTTTTTCTCTTGTTTGTCACACCTCATTAACCCTGACCCTCTCTGTTCCGCTTAGACACTCAACTTTAATTTAGACACACGTTTGCCATGTCTCTCTTGTCTAATTAATTGCATTAGTGCCGCAGGACTCGCGACATCCCTTTTCCCTAGTGCCAATCGATTTAAAAGTAAAAGCAATGGTTCTTCTTATAGCTAGCAAACACACACACACACATGCAAAGCAAAGCAAACAAGCAAATGCACATTATGTATATTTATAACTCGTTATTTATTGTCCCTTTGAAGTTGTCTCATCTTTGACACCCAAAAGAGGGAAGATCGATAATTAATTCGAAATACTGAAGAGATAATCGTTAAAACGTTTACTGATGTTATTTATATAAGACAACTAAACCATAAAATGAATTTTCGTATGCAATTTTCGCCGTATTCCTGATAAAATAATGTTAAAGCTGTTTTTGTGTAAATTGGGTACAAAAACCATATTTTTTATACTTACTTTCCGCTTTTAGAAAAAATATTGATATTTTTGGGCAAGTTAAATCAAAATTAAGTAAAATTTAAAATAATGAAGTTAAACTCATTGAATTCATTAAACATTTTTGAGTCATGTTTTGTTCAAATCATCTTACTTGAATTTCAAATATGTGCCGAAATATACACTTTACATTGATATATTATTCAGAGAGATTGAGAATTATATGTTTTGTTTTTCCCCAAGTAAATATGAGTTATAAAAACATAAAACCCCTACCAAAATAACAAGTAATCTATTTGCGTTTCTGGCATTTTAAAAATTTGTATATTTATAGCAGAAACATCAAACTATGAACTCGAAGCAATTAGAGAAACCATTTTGAAATCACCATAAATCTGCTTCGTTCCCGGCAGGGTAATAAATTCCCGTTTCCATTTGCAGCTGACAAATGCGAGCCATTAAAAATAGTTTTTCCGTAAGCAAAACTTTTCACCGCATTTTTCAAGGGCGACCCTCGCCTTTGATTTCGATTTATTTTCCTTATCGCCTCTGCATTTCGAGTTGTTTTTTCTGGGGGGAACGTCATTGGCAGCCGGGTGTCTGTGATTGTTCCAGAATCGCCGGCTGCATAATTAGGACGAGCTCGAAAGTTTGCTGATAAACGTTTCCGCTTTTCATCGCAGAAGTCAATGTGCCATTTACAGAGGAACTGCAGATGGTTAAAGTCCAATATCTCTGATGTGTGTGACCCCATGTGGCGCCCTTTTCAACTGTCAGGTCGAAACTATTGTTTCGAGGGGATTGCGTCACAGTCTATCGGCTCGAACTCAACTCAAACTCGAACCCCAAACCTGCAACCCATTCCCTTTGGGTGACGTAGGCAATTGACAGAAACATGTGTATCCTGTATATATGCTGTGCCCAGACAATAATAAACCATCAGTTCCAACCCCATGGGCAAATAAAGCCCAATCGAATATTATTATCAATGAGGGCAGGACCCAAACAACGAACCCCATTTAGTGCGAGGAGGGTTGGCCACATGCTGCTCTTCCCTTGGCAGGATATCATTGCCAGGACTTCGGGACTTGGGTTCCAATCCTGGCCACGCCCACATGCCATCATTATCGTTGCGTTCTGCGCTAATTTGGCGCGACTTTGACACTTGTTAGCCAATATGTTTTTGGCTCGTGTTAATGGCCCAACGGGAATTGATATTAATTGCATTGAACGCCTCCTCACGCAGGCCAAACTGGGCGTGGTCGTTGGTCAATATTGTTAGTCCCCTAGAACAGAATAAAAAACAAAAACCACAAACCCGAAAACCAGCTAAAATCAATTTTTTCTGGTCGCTGCCTTTGTTCACTGGCAGGTTTTGTCCAAAATCGGCTTAACAACTTTCGGTGCCTGTTTTTCTTGTGGCTTTTAGTTTTATAAAGAGCTGAGCGGTCCTTGTCTTTTTCAATATAATTAATCCTGCAACCCTTGATTGAGAATATAAGATTTGCATTGCCTTTAAGAAGGCAAATTTCCCGTTGCCTTTTCCCAGGCAATGAAAACTGAAAACGCTCAAGAGGTTTCCATTTTCCAAGCCCTATTTTTCTTTTCATGTCCCCTAATAAAACTAAATTCAATTAGAACTTGCAGTCGGAGTTTCTTGTGCGTGTGGGAAAAGTTGAAGTTAAATGTGGCAAAAGTTTTGTGGAATATGTCGAAAAAGTGAAAATGGGATGAGTGTAAATGGGCTAAGGCACACGGCCTTATTTGTTGCCAAAGGAAGAAGTATCTCGAGGGTATGCAAATTTAATCGAATCACTTCACATAAATAGCAATTTACAGATGGTGGCTCTTTTCTTTATTTAAAATAGATGAAAGGAAGAGACAAGTGCATATGTGGTTTCGAAAGTTTTTAGTCCTATAACATGAAACTACTTTGACTCAATACCACTATCAGGTTTCTTTAAATATGTAATCTTTGATCGAAAACCTTTTGCTTTTGGCTATAAGTTTTTATCTCTGTTATGGTATGGCTTATCAAAAGAATGTTACCTTAAAAGTTTTTTTTTCGAAATTGACAATTCTTTTTGAAATTTGACCATTATAGAATCGTTGGTTTTACATAATAATTTTAATTTTAAAAATAATACTTTAAAATAAAGCTCAGGAAGATATTTTAAACATATAAATCCTGTCAGCTTTTCCTAGCAAAAATATGTTCCATTAAAAATTTTATTTTGTATTATTTAGCTCCCATAAAAATGTAATTAGGGGTTGGTTTGGGCATATTTCCAATCCATATCGACGGCATTGCAATTCCTTCTTCCCAGCCGACTAGAATTGATTCCTATTGGCCTCTACCTCCTCCACTTTCTCTGTTGGAGGTGAAACGCATTCCAGGCGAATACCTGGTCGCACCCGCCGATTCTGTCGCCGATTTGATAAGAAGAAACAGAAATTCCTGGTGCTAATCAACAAGACAAGATGACAGGTGGGCGATGGAGCAAACAGAAGCCAACCTGGCGTAATGACCTTGATAAACTTTCGTTCCGAGGAGCTTCCATATCGAGTAGGTAGCTGCCTCTCCGGCTCTGTTTTTCCGGGCCTATTTGGCTAGGGGCTATGCTATTTGCTTTTGTCTGTCGAAAAAGTTTTACATTCAGCAGCCGCCTCCAAAACACCCGCTAGTCATCCCCCAAAACTTAGACAAAAAAAATAAATCGTAAAGTACACATAGACCAAAAAATAAGAAGTTTTCTTTTGACATTTTTCTAGTCTCTCTTCCTGTGCCCAAAATTGTTTCGGCTTATGCCGCCACAACGCTTTTGTTGTCTGTTTATTTTTCAGTTTTGATTAAAGACAACCCCTTGTCGACCTTCCCTGCCCACCTTGCTTTGACTGAGTGTTATTACCATTTTGTCGCATCAACCTTTAAACTTTGCTATTTTAGGGGGAAGATCAGCTTTGCCGGCTTTTTGAGGGAGGTCCTGAACTGGATTTTTTCGAGGGCTGCGCGCCTCTGACAACACACAAATAGGATATCATGATCCATCACACTGCATAGAGAGTATTCCAAAAAATTATGCAAAGTATCATTGAAACATTGTAGCAGAGCGAAAAAAGGTAAATCGTTGTTGGCGGCGTCTCATGCACTTAAAAACCAATCACTTGTGCATTGACCTTCGTTTTAGAATAAAAAAGCAGACAAAGCCAAAGCAAACATAACGAAAAAGCAAGCAGCAGCTGTAAATTCGAAAAAGCGGCCACGCAACGTGGCCAACACCTTGACTTTGTCTTGTCGGCCAAGTTTGGCCACTTGGCAACAGCGCCAAATGAAACGAATGGCGTGGAGCAGGAGCTACGTGAAATTGGTCAACAGAAGTCGAAGGAAAACACACTCTTGCTTATTAATCAATATTTAATTTCCTGACACAGAAATAAATGTTAACTATTCCATTGCCAAATTGTCTAAACACTTTTATATTACATTTTGTTCGGTTGAAGAACAGTATTATTGATAAACATAAATTGAATTTTAATAATTCAGCTGTCAGTAACACTTTCCTAAAGATAAACAGAGCATACGATCTAATGTATACAGGATTTAAGCCAAGAAGGAAGCAGCTTTCAAACTGGTTTTATACGGTTTGAATATCCAAATTTAAATTAGCTGAATTATATGTAATTTAAGAACATATGGGTTAAGGCCTTGAACTTTACCGAACCAGTTTTTAAGGCCATTTTCGTAATCGTTATTCCTTCATTTTAAAATATTGCCGCAGTGACTTCCACCGCCACAAAAAGATCTTAGTCAGTCGGAGCACATGTATTATGACTACCCGGCCAAAAGGGTATAGATACATTTTTATGCAAAAACTGGACGGCAGAACAAGCTACAGTCCATGCTGCAGACCGAATCCAATGGAATCCCTGTCGTGGTCCCTGCTATATGTGTAGAATTCATTAACCATAAAGCGCAGTGGAACGGGTGTGAAGGAACAAAGGAGGGAATGAAATCAGAGGACCACCCAGTTTCCAGGAATTTCTGTTAATCCTGGGTGGTCTGCGGCATTTTCAGCTCTTCTCTGTTGTTAAGAATTAGGGTTCACAAGGGATATTAAAGAAAAACATAATCAGTACAAACTAAAATCAATTAAAAAATTCATTTCATTTAAATCAACCTATTGTAGCAATTGTTAATTATATTTGCGCATTGATCACTTTCAGTTATCCAATCGTCAGCAAATCGTCCGTTTCCATTTCGAGAAGGCAAAGGTGAGTTTACAATTCTCTGGAACCTAATTGATAAGACAACCATTTCACGATTCACCATAAATTAAGTCATAGATACGCATTGGCTCTACTATATATGTACATACATCTATGAAGCATTTGATTGACGAACACGCTCATTCAAATGAATTGTCATTCATTCAGATGCAGTTTTCCTAAAAGAAATTCTTAGGGACATCGCTTCGGCGAGCTGCTATCGTTAAGTCTTTTCTGACTTCGGATGAGTTTGTTGTTTCAGTAGCCAATCGCACTTTTGTTATTGAATGTGTGTGTCCCTGTCCCGAGAACACAAATCGTTTTTACCTACATTTCAAGACAATCATTGTGCAAAAATGTTTAGTTCTTTTTGGTATTACTCACTGTTTGCATTTCGAGTCTACCACTTATTTAATCTTATAACTTGATAACCGAAATATCAAAAAAATTCTACAACGCAAATTCTTTTAGTATTAGCTTTCGGTATAATTCTATAACTGATTGCCTTGAACGCAGTTTTTTTGATAAAGTATGTTCCAAGTCGGTTCCACTGGTCAATATAAAAATTTGTTAACGTCAGAAATGTATCTAAATGTATTTTTCTGTTTGGAAATTCAGAAAATTCAATAGACCGGAAAATTCCAGATTTTTGGGTTTTCATTACAAAAGTTCACTTATTTAACCGTATTAAAAATATTAACATTTGAGCTCTAACACAATATTTATTGGTAATAAAAAGTAAATAATCTCGTTAAAGTGTAGTGCTGTCTTTGTTTTTGTGTATGGTGCAGCAAACGCTTGTTTCGATTCTGTTGGGTGTGCTGCATTAAACGTCATTTTTATTGTTAAAAATTTTTAAACATCTGTTTTCCTTGCGTCAACATGTGCAAAGTTTGGTGCCCTCTCTTACAACTTTGACATTTTCTCCCAGCACAACATTTGTTTTGTGCAACAACAAATGACCTTTGTTGATTCTTGTGCTCCCACATACATATACATATATTTAACTTTGGCCTAGGTAATTTGCCAGCAACGCCTATAATAGGAGCTGGGGGCGTGTCTGTTGGGAGAGGCGATTAGCAACCAAAAAGGTAACTTGTCAGTAACATATTTTTTCCGAGTCGAGGGTAGAGCAAAAGTTTTTGTTGCACTTCAAATTTAGTTTGTTATGCTTTTGTGTCCTTCGTTTTCTGCTTTTCTGTTACTTTTCTATTGCACTTTACAAGTTTATAAGGCACTTGAAGGGACAAAGAAAGTTTCCTGTTCCCCCATTAAGTAGTATTTTCAAACTCACAGCTGGCATTTGCCATGATCATTTACAATATATCCCATTTCCCATTTGCCCTGGCCCTGGACAGGAAGAAATGGCGACGTCATCACGAATTTCGACTGAAATGTTTATGGTCTCATAAATTCTGACACAACACTGTTGGTTGAATACTCCCTCTATAGTATATATATACAATATTTCTGGCTACCTGGGAGTTTTGCGTTTCGCGTCTTTCCTGCTTGTTTTTTATGCGTCTGACAACTTTTGGCACATTTGTCGTACATCAAATTAGAAGCAGAATGCTCGACGGCGCGAAATGATTGAGCATTTGCATTAAGCCGAATCAACCCACAGGTACACACAGACAGACCGCAGAATCGTGAGGAATGTCATATCTTTAGGAATGTCATATCTTCAGGCCACTATTGGGCGTCGACTTGGGAAATTCCCTGCAATTACTCAAACAAACGATTTCAGTTATTTAAGTGGGGGAGCACATAGTTGCCTGTGATTTTGACAAAAGCCAACTATGTGAGCTATTAATTTAGACCGGGTAGTCATAGAAACCTCTTAAGATTTGCGCCCCAACTATATCTGAAGTACATTTTCTTAAAGTTTTTGTTATATTTCTCAAAACTAAAAGGAGATATTTTGAAAAGCGATTTTGTGAATGAAGATTTTGTAAAAATACATTTTGTGTTGAATACTAAAAACTATCAGTACTGCTGCCAGCAAAAGGTTCCTTGATTGCGCGAACACGTTATTATAGCCCGCTGGTCAATTTGCAGCTATTTCGGTTAGCAAAAAGCCAAGGATAACAGAGACATCAGGGCAAACAATAAAGCGTGGGTGTTGGCACGGAGCGGAGTGGACTGGACTGGAGTGGGAAAAACTTCGAGAAAATATTGACTCAGTTATACGAAGAGTTCCATTTTTATTCGCTCGCCGACTCGAGTAAATAAGGAATTTTAAAATTTATGCATATGCATGTCAACTCAGCTCAGCTCGGCTCAACTCGGCTAAGTGTCTTCCTCGTCATTCGTCATTCGTCACCGTTGCCATCATGTGCAATGCTTGCCAGCCAAATTGGCTTTATTTTAGCCAAATTAAAGTTCCCCCAACTGAAAGTCAAGGCCTTGTGTCTAATAAATATCTTGAGTTTTACCAACTGAAGAGTGAAAAACCTATTACATCTTTGCCACAAATATTTACATCGAAAATAAGTACTTAAATTATTTTTACTTTTGTACAAATCGCTTTAAAGTAATACGTTTATAATGTTTTTACTTCGAATTTTTCTAATAAAAATCATATAAACTGTTAAACACCGTCATACATACTGTATATTTTTATTCCTTTTGTTTATTAAGTATGGGTTCTGATCTCTTTGTAGTAAAATATTTAGCTATTTATAATTCTAAATGGCAGCACAGAAACTCTTAGTAAGGGATTACTGTCCCTGTTTCTGTACGTTGTCGTCATCTGCTGTGTTGGTTTAGCTGTCGGCCTCATCAGGGCCGTTTTGGCCAGGTCCGGTGTCCTGACATTTACTTAACTGCCAGGACAGGCCAGGTCTTCTTCGGACCGTCGACTGGCTTCCCTCCTGGCCAACAGGTCAGATTTTGAGAGCTGATGCACCATAATCTTTAATTTATGATTAAAAGCCTTGATGGGCTTGGGCAACTCTTAATGCGACACGAAAAGAGATCAAACTTAAAGTTGACGGCACATTGGGCTTAATTACACCTAAATGCTTTCAATTAAATACAATTCGAATGCCAGAACACAGCCTTGAAGTGTATCGATTTTGGAACGGATGATGAGAACTTTGTGTCATTAGAGGAAATGGAAATTGGAATGGAAATTTCAATCTGATGGACAATCGGTTTACTTGCAGCCATTGCATTATGATGGCATTTGCCTGAAAGCCCCCTCCCAAAAAAAATAAACTCGTTCGTTGATTGATAAATTCGTTAGCGAGCGCATGTAAAATTTAGAAAAAAAACGGCAGATAGGCGATCAATTTCCGATATTTGCTCGCCGTTGGAATTGTTTGCCGTTCGATTAGGAAGGCAGAGATTTACACAAATCGGACGTGAACGTGTGTTTCTTTTTGGCTTTCTGTATCAGCTGCAATAACGACACGTTGTCTATTTGTTTATGCATTACAAAGCGAAAGAGCCGCCAGATATCCAAACGACTTGACCGGCGAACCCGGCCAACAGCCATTCATAAAAACACCAAACAACAAGCTTTTTACGCAATCGACAGCCTTGTGCCAAAAATAATAATAGTAATAATGCACAAAAATAATAAAAATAAATAAATAAAACCGAGCGCACAATAAAATGAACCGAAAATAAAATGCCTCAAGATTATTTACATTAAAATCGCATGCACTTTGTGTTGAAAAATCAATTAAAAGCGCCGGCCGTCGCTAGCAATTAATGCAAATGCCCAGAAATAAAACTAAATTAAGAGCATTAAGAATCCGAATGAAAAGTAAACATGCAACGGAATGGCTATCCAAAGCTGAGTAATACAAAGTAAAAAAAATTTAAAATTGCCTAAAAAATATTTTTGTTTTTGCATAGTAAATATAATATGTACATATTTCTTGAAAGTGGTGAATTGTTTAATATTCGTACAGCAGCAAACGGAAATAGTCAGTCGCAAATGAAAAATTCAATCAATAAATTGAATAAATTCTATTGGAAACCAACTGAGTATAACTGATTTAAATTTCAATTGTTAAATTTTCACATACAAAATGCTAAATTATGTTAAAATTTTATGCTATCTCACTACAAATATTTATTTTATTTATTTTAAAAAATAACACAAAATTTAGAATTTTGTGTACTTACTGGAATACCAATCCTGTTACTGGGTTATTATGACAAAAAAGACTGATTTTCATGTTTAAATAATAATTATTTTTGAGTTAGAGATTAATATTTAGGTCAGATTTTAAAAAATCTGTCTGTCAAAAAACAAATGGAAAGTTCAAAACTTAAAAGTGCTCACGTGGGGGTTTTGAAAGTAAGAACCGGTTTCTGACAAGGCGGCGCTTGGACTTGCTTAGACACTTTGAAATTTAATGATTAAATGAATGTTTATGCATTGTATATGCTGTCGATTCCAAATGACGTCACTGTGACGTCAAGCACAAACCGCTTTTATTTATTTTTTTCTGTTGTTGGCTTTTGTGTTTTTTTTCGCCGTTCCTCCTTGAATTAATAGCAGGTGGTGGAGAAGCGGGGCCGGCGGCAAATGCCAAATTAAAACATGTACACAATGTCAATAATACATCGTCATAGTATTCAAATGAAGTTTGACAGACACACACCACACACGTTTGCAGAATGGCAGAAAGAGTACACACAGGTGGCCTTATTTTATTCCCCCCCGAGTGGTAAAAGCCAATAGGCGGACTTGGTCAAAACGCGGGCTTTGGTCATTATTGACGGCAATGTGGGTTGTAGGTTGGCATTGTACCGCCCGCTATATATTTATATCCCCTTCTGGCCAAAGCAAATCATCCAATTTTGTCAGATTCAAGACCAGATGATTAGCTTGATTTGTGAGCTGGAAAAAGAAAACTGGAATGCCTTAATAAACCGTTGTTCAGCCTGCTAAAAAAATTGTTTATATTGTTTTTGTTTTTGCTATCGGAAATGTTAATTACACTTCCATCATTTTCAAGTCTATCTAGTGCGAAATTAACGAAATAAGA